CACACACACACACACACAATATAAGGCAATACACAAAACAATGTCAATTTCTCAGGGAAAAAAAGCCTTCCAGTGAACAATTAGTGGACAGACAAACCATACAGTCCATATGATCTGCATTTCTTGTCCATAAGGTAAAGTAAACATGGTCCATTTGGAAATGTGGAGCGTTGCAGTGTGGTGGAAAACCATTTCCATTACCACATACATTCAGAACATGTTTATTTTGCCATTAACTCAAAAAAAGTTGACCCCACAGGCTAACAAATGTTGCACTGAGATTGCGTTTTTAATTTGACACACTTTTTTAATTTGACACTTGACCATTTGACAAAATGGACATGATGCTAAAGTTTCTGGGTTACATATCAGTCTTCAGTACTGCACAGTAGAGGCTGTATACAATGCAAACTAACTGTCATAGGATAATGTCATCCAAAATTTGTCCAAAGAAAAAACGTGGCACATTTTTAAAAGCATAATGAGAACTAACACATTTATTTGGCAAAATAAAATTATAAAATATCAGCTTTTTTGTTTCTTCTCAACTTTACGTTTTCAACAAATTCACTCTCCCTCAACATTTGAGTTTTCCTACAGAAAACAAAAAAACGATAACTACCTAAAAATGTGTTGTAGGTTTGCAAAACTAACTAAAATGAAAGAGTAAATGTCCTTAGTTTTCCTTTATTTATTTATTTTTTACAACCTAATAAGCCTACATTGAGTGGATATGAAGCTGGGGGAACTGATGTTGCGGGGCACTTGGCAGGACCCGCACTTCAGCGGTGCGTGCGGTGATTAGACGATAGGCACCTGATAGTAAGTCGCAGGTGTGTTATGATTTTGTCCTCCGCATGAAGAGCTGGCACGCTGCATGTCCGTTAAGAGAGCCCCGGGTCAGTGCGGCGTCTGGCCGCAGCGTAGCAGGTGGTGACCCATGTAACGTTAGGGGGAGGCTAAAGTAGTCAGGGAGACCCAGGTAGGGATCAGTTGCGTAGCTGGTGCGATCTGTTTTATACATACATGTGTACAAAATAATATGAATGCAACAACTGTATGGAGTGTTTTGTTTAGTTTGGGTTGCAGGTAACTTAGTGAGTCACTATCTTGGTGGTTTTCTTTTCCTTGTTTTGTTTTGTTCCGTTCTGATGGTCTGGCTTAGCATCCTGTGTGTGGGATAAACTTGTCCCTTGCCCACTGACTGCCCTAGCTCTGTGTTAACGTGTTTGCTGGTCATTATATTTACTGCATGTCAGCTAGTGTGTGTTTTATGGGCTCATTGATATCTCAGCCAAACTGTGTCTTTGTGCGTCACATTTTCTTAATACCTATTTTTGATTAATAAAGGTTAAGATTTTAATATAATTGCTTTCCAGTCATACTTGCCTTCAGGGTGCTAGGGACCTGTGTTTTGTGGCTCCAAGGGGTGCCTCCACTATCTTCCAGTTTCTTAGCTGTCCATCAATTGTATTGTCCTCCATTTATTGTATTTCACCTATATAACCATGAATGATAGAGCTAGAGACTCATGTAATGAATGTCTTGGGACCACTGGGTAGTAGGATTAGTGTAGTTTGCTCTTAGGGTTTTCTGTATGTAGGTTAGAAATTATACTGTAGATTGCATGTGCTTCATTTATTTGTATTATTTATTTCGACAACATGCAAGATCTCACCTCGTGGGGCATCAATGATCATGAGGAACTACACGGCAGGACTTGGTCAATGACCTGAAGAGAGCTTAAAAAAATCCTGCAGTGCACACAAGTGGTGCAGTGGTTAGCACAGCAAGAAGGTTGCGGGTTCAAACCCCGGTTGCCCTGGCCTTGCATCCCTGTCTGCGTGGGAAGACATGCGGACTAGATTAATTGGTGACCCTAAATTGTCCTTAGGTGTGAGTGGTTGTGTGGCCCTGCGATGGACTGGTGACCTGTCCAGGGTGTACCCCACCGTTTGCCCGATGTCAGCTTGGATTGCCCGCGACCCTGTACGTAGGATAAGCAGTTGACGATGGATGGTTTCTGTACCAAATATTAAGTTCTGCTTTTCTGATGTATGTAAAAATCAGCAGTGTATCAAATACTTGTTCTCCCCACTGTATGTATGTGTGTGTGTGTGTGTGTGTGTGTGTGTATATGTATGTATATATATATATATATATATATATATATATATATATATATATATACAGTATATAATGTGCTTAGTGTTTGGACCCCTATGTACAAGCTTCAGATAGCTTAAAAAACTAAACTGGACTGAACTAAACTGAATTGAGCTTGGCATGTTGCAGCGACAAAGATTAAAATTAATAAAAACTAAACTAAAACTAACCATTTTCCAAAAATAAAAACTAAACTAAACTAGCAAACCCATGTTAAAAACTAATTAAACTGAAATTGAAAACAAAAAGTCAAAGCGAAATAAAATAAAAATTAATGCAAAATCTAAAACTATAATAACCTTGGTGCCAACCAGCTAGTGTGCTGGAGTGTGCTCCGACCTGCTTAAAGACTGCCACTATCGTTCCTGTACCTCTGCAGTGTCTAGTCTAAATGATTGACAGGACATGATGACACTCACCCCCATTCTGAAGTGCTTTGAGAAACTGGTTCTCCAGCACATAAAGAACAACATCCTAGTCAGCATAGAACCTCACCAGTTTGCTTTCAGAACCAACAGATCGACAGAGAATGCATCTCCACTGCCCTCCACTCAGCCCTCACACACCTGGAAAAAACAACTCCTACATCAGAATGCATTTTGTGGATTTCAGCTCAGCATTCAACACAATCTCCCTCATGAAACTGATTAGCAAACATAGTACCACACTCTGCAACTGGATACTGGATTTCATCACAAACCCCAGACAGTTTGGATTGCCGGCTACACTTCCTCCACTCTAGTGCTCAACACCGGAGCCCCCAAGGGCTGTGTGCTCAGTTCCCTCTTGTTCACGCAACACACCCACGACTTCAACCTCAGAGAGAGAGAACTCTGTTGTGAAGTTTTCTGACGACACTACCATCCTCGTTTCAAACAACGAAGAGACTATTTATCAGGAGGAAATCGACAATCTTGCAGAGATGTGTGCAGAGAACAACCTACTGCTCAGCTCAAAAGAACTGATCTTTGATTTTAGGATAAAGGAGGTGAAGACACAAACTCTGGTCTACATCAGAGGACCTGATTTGGAGCAGATTAACAGTTTTAGGTTCCTTAGAATCAGCATCACAGAGAACAATAGAAAGCATCCTGACTGGAAGCATCACAAACTGGTGTGGGATGTGTATGGCCCAGGACCACAGGGCTCTACAGCGGGTGATTAAAACCTCACAGAAGATATACTAGGTATAGCATATGCTGACGCTATACCTAGCATCAGCAGTATCAGTGAGGTGAGGTGTCTGAGCCCAAAGTGAAAAGACAGAACCCACCCAGTTACAGCCTGTTCCCCCTGCTGCCGTCTGGTAACATATACAGAAACATCTGCGTTCATACCACCGGAATACAGAGAGGCTTCTTCCCCTCAGGCTGTGAGACTCCTAAATTCATCACAGCACCAAATAAAATAGTTTTTTTTTTTTGTGACTTGTTATTTATCCACCCATCTAGTGTATATCATTTTTGTATATAATGTTTGCTTTTTGTGAGTAGATAAAGGGAACCACAACTTTAACTTTATCTCATTATACAACCCCGTGTTGTAAAATGATAAATACATCTATCTAGTACCTTGTTTCATAAGTCATCCATCAACATATTGATGAATGACCCTCTACCTGGTGTTATAAAATATATTTTTTTTATTTTTATAAAGGTAACAAGTACATATGTGACTACTTACACTGAAACTATAATGAATGTTTATTCATTATGCACCCCCACATTATGTCAGTTACTTCTTGCTTTTATGTCTATCTTCATTGTGTGTGTATTTGTGTGTGAGTGTATGTGTGTGCTCATGAGTGCATGCAGTCCTTAACCATGATTCATTATGTACGCTTGACTATTTTTCTGGATTAAATACATTTTTACCCCCTTCTCTAAGTACACATGGCAAACATTAGCCAGGAGAAAAAAAATAGGAAACAGGGTTATTAGCTGGCACAAACATGATGTAACCACCACAGTGTAAGACCACAGCTAGTGGACAGTGGTCTTATAAAATATCACCTTCTTAACTCAAAGCTACATGGGAGTTCACCTTCATCTGCCCCATAAGCCTGATTAATTGTGAGCACAGCCTTTCGATGTTACTGAAGAGGGCTTCAGAGAGTTAGGGTTCACATTTCAAAGGGAAACATGTATATTTAGGAAAGTGGAAGTGGAACCTTTGATTGTCCCTATTTGTGTTTTAGAGTGTCACGTACAAGCACAGTCAGTGCAAAGTTCTGCCTCCTTTAGTGGAGGAATGACGACAGGCAAGAGCAAGTCACACATGGGGCAGGGAAGGACATGATATTATTGCCTGTTAATTAAGATTTGAAATGGTTTATGTAGTTGGAAAACTACTTTATATGATGACTCATACTTGACACTTACTACTACGTCTAAATGTAGAATTAGACATACACTTACTATACAATGTATGCCAGTCAAATGTAATTAGTTTAGTGTATATCAAGGTGAAAGGACTATTATGTCATGGCTACTGCAATACTCATAACAAATCCCAAACTTTCACTCAATAAACTGTGCTGTACGATGCGTGTGTGCTTAATAGATAGTTGAAGACTAATAAACACTCGGATGTTTGTACACACAAAGCAGGTCAGACCAGACACAATAAACAGTGAAACTACACCAGGGACAAATGCAATGTGATCTACTGCACTGTACATTCAGTTTCAAGCTTGTTTTAGAAATTAACCAAGAATGCTTATATAATAAAACTCTCATTAGGATGAGAGTACCTTCTCAGAACAAAAAATAAGCATACAGTATAAGTCCCGCTACAACACAGAATACTGTCAGTAAAACACTTTTACAGCTTACCTTAATGAGAGGGTATGCCAGAGATGGCTTGGGATCATGGGTGTTGAGTCAAGTCCAGAGCGAATCTGGTCAAACCTTCACCCATGTGTGGCACCATAACCTCAACAGTTGAACATAGACTCATGCGTAGCTACTTGAAAACTCTGGTGTCTGCTGCGTACTCAGGCACTCCTTCACACGGTCTCTGATTGAGAGAATCCCCTCGCAGTCGGCAGCAGCCCGACAGCTGTGCTAACGGAGATCCAAGAGGCGACAGATAGAGACAGACTTGCTGCTGCTCTCTCCTTCTCTCTCTGTCAGCTGCCAGCTCCCACTCTCTCCCTCAGTCCCTTCTCTGTTGCTCTGCTCTCTCTCTACTTTCTCTTTCTTGTACACGCATGTATTCTCCACACTACACCCACCCCCCACTATCACACACACGTATATACACATCTGTTAGTCTCAGCCAGTATTTCTTCTTCACACTGCATGCTCTCATTGTAGTTTGCTACACAGAATGTCTTTCAAAGGGTTTTTTTGCAGATATTTCCCCCTCAAACCATTGACATAAACTCATGCGCTTTGTTTTATATGTTTTATCTTGCTGTATTAGACCACTAATATTAATTTTAAATGTTGGATTATATAGAGTGTACAGGAGGAAGATAGAGGCACCGAAGAGGGAAAGACCAAGACAGAAAGAAAATAGTGAAGATGCAAAAGGATAATCACATGATACAAAATGGATATGTGGATGTGGAGAGTTAAGTAGGGTGGGGTAGAGACTGGGGCACGGGTTTGGCTTTGAAGTGCAAATGAAAGCAAAATGTCATGGTTAATCTTTGCTAGCGAGCACAGTATTTTTTTTGCCACCAGCAAAGGCACACTAGAGTGTGTACCCTTACTCTATAGTCTGTTTGAATGCAATTTCACAACGCACTGGATGATCTACTGGGAGCATCAGTCTTCATTCCTTGGTTGCACACAGTGGAAATGAATGCATGTGTGACCTTAAAGAAAGCCATTGTCACAGTTTGCTCCTCAGTCCCTTTCTTCAACCATACTGTTTCATCCCTGGCCGTCCACATTGCTCTCTGTCCCTTTCTCTAGCTCCCCAGACCTGCCATCCTCTAGCTCTCCACCAGATGCCCTTGGACTTCCACTCCTTTCCCTGTCAGCTGATACACACAACTACACACCTGTTCTCACCTCCCTCATCAGCCCTGCAGTTACCCTATTCACCCACTCCTAATTAACTCATCAGCCACTCACCAGTTATACAAGTTTACTTTGTATGTTCATTGTAAGTTCATCCTGTTTTCAATGTTCCTAGTTGCTTGTTGTTTTTGGGACCTTAATCTGCCTGCCTACCTGTTACCTGTTCATTGCCTGTCTGCTTGTGTACCTGTCTGTAAGCTAATTTGTGCTTCAAGAAATCCTTGAACTTTACAAGTCTGCTGCTTCTGTCTGTGTTTGGGTCCAAACTCCATTTCCCTGGTGAACCCACCATGACAGCAATTCATATATGCTCTGTAATGAAGCTGGCAGTACTATTGGATCCATTCATGGATGTATTTGAATGTAGAAATATGACTTCATTCAGTGCAAAGCTGTGTAAGTGAAATAAATGAGAGGGAGCCAAAACATGGGGGTGGGGCAAAGCAGCAGTCAATCAGCATTCACATAATCCTGTTTAATCTTGATCAGATAGTGATGGCTTCAATATCAATACGTTGCTGGGACCTGGAACAAAGAAGCAGCCTATTTGTATGCCAGAAGCCTTGTTATAACCAACATGTAAAACAAAGAGAAGTCGACGAATATCTTTGTCCATTAATTTGCACTAATGTGTGACTTTTCCAGTTCAAACCAAACTGGATTTCTACTGCATGAGCCCCTCACGGAAGTGCAGGAGCCCCTGTGGTGCAGACTTGATGTCACTGCAGCCACTGCCAGCCCAGGCTGCTACAGGAGGTACCAATTTTCAGCGCTAAATTTAGTTTCCCTAGGTGAACGTATAACTCGCCAGTCGAGAAAGACTGTTTTCTTTTGTTTCTCTTTTGTTTTGTGTTTACTGAACACATTTTTGTACCCTAAAGGAGAATTTTATACACTTTACAGCAATCTCACACCTGCAGAAGAAAGATTCAGTTCTATCTCACACAGGCTCCGCCCTCTACTGGACTCTATGGGTACTACCTCTCTTCCTATCACACGCACGTACTCGCCCACTGAAATTTTGAATACTGTAAGTAGCCAACCAATTGGACGTCGCTACTGTACGTGCGTACCGTATAAATAGCGATGTCCTCACTGCTCAGCATCCTTTTTTCTTCAGACAGACGGCGAACCGCCCACTGACTTTCACCTCCACGGATGGAGTTGCCGCTCCTTGAAGCTCGTCTTTGCCCGGGGGTAGACACTCATTGATCCTGCTTTGAATGCCTCGGCAGGGACCACGCCAGGGATGGCATCCGCCAACCGCCGCCGTGTGTTGACTGCCGAGCCATTCCTCTCATCCGGCGTCAGCAGCGCTGGGAGCATTTCCGGCAGTGTGAGCTCTCCCTCATCTGCGAGGAGAGTGAGGAAGACGCCGGCCCGGATCCCCTCCCTGCCGAGGAGGATGCTCCGGCCCCCGATCTACCGCCTCAGTCGGCTTCACGCTCCCTGCCGTCCCTGCCGCCGCCGCTGATCGACGATGATGCTGACAGCAGGCCGCAGCGGCCAACAATCTGGGTGTGCTGGGCGTCGCGGTGGCATCCGAGTCCCCGATCGCCCCCCCCCCCTCATCGGACCAGGTGGATTTCCTGCCCCGAGCCACCATGAACAACCTGGTCCAGGGTGTGGCCACCGCTGCGGGGCGCGTCATGTCTCTGGCCACAGTAGGTTCTCGCCACGTGTGGTTGGGACTTACCGCTCTCCATGGGAAGGACCGGGAGGAGCTGTTGGGTGCCCCCATCTCATCTGATGGCCTCTTTGGCTCCATATCCTCCGCTGGCTCACGGCAAGGGCAGCGAGCTTCGCCGTCGTAATGCCACCCTCAGACGTCGTGCTCGCCGCCAAGCCAGATCGCCGCTGTCTTCATCACCGGCTACTCAGGGCGGATCCACAGATGCACTGCGCCCTACCCGAGACACCGGGCCGTGGTGCGTTCAGGACACCACAATCCGCTCGGGTTTTTCGAGACTTCGGCCGTGGTGCGTTCAGGACACCATAATTCGCTCGGGTTCAAGGTCACCACGGCCGGTTCGGCCCTTTCGATTGCGGCCCCCCTTGGGCCAAACTCCCATTTATGGAGGGTTTGGCGGCGGTGAGGGCCAAGGAAGCTTTCCAGCGTTTCATCCACAATGCTCCTCAGCTAACAGCGCGTCCCCTGATTCATTTCCACACGGAATGGAGACGCTGCTGCAAGCCAACAGACTGGATGGACGGCACACTGAGGCGGGGTTACTCCCTACAATTTTGCCGTATCCCACCGTCTTTACAGGGCATCAAGGAAGCCAACCTGTCCTCTCAGGAGGAGGTGGACTTCCTGGCCACAGAGATTTAACAGCTCCTGCAGAAACAGGCTATCTCTGTCGTTCCAACCCACGACACGTACAGGGGTCTTTACTCCACGTACTTCCTGGTCCCCAAGAAGACTGGAGGCTTCAGACCCATCCTGGATCTCCGCTACCTGAACCAGCATATTGCACGGAAACTATTCCGCATGCTGACACTCAGGAAACTGCTAGAGCTAGTGCAGCCCGGCGATTGGTTGACGACCATAGACCTGAAAGATGGCTACTTTCATGTCGAGGTGGCCCGGAAACACAGGAAGTTTCTGCGTTTTGCCTTCCAGGGGGTGGCGTACGAATACACCAGACTCCCCTTCAGCTACTCACTGGCCCCACGCACATTCAGCAAGTGCGTAGACGCCGCACTGCTACCATTGCACGATCAGGGCATGAGAGTCTTTTTCTACTTAGACAACCTCATTGTCATGGCCAGGTCAAAACAACGGGCAATTTTCTACACAGCTCAGTTGATTTTGCATCTGAACAACCTGGGCTTTGCAATCAACTGGGAGAAGAGCTCCCCCTATCCCCGCCAGGAGGTGGAGTATTTGGGGGTCGTGCTCAACTCAGCCAGCCTGAGAGCTCATCTGTCGGAACTCAGACAGACGACCCTTCTTCAAGCGGTCCGCAAGCTCCAACTGAGAACTGCTGTGACGGCGCTGGCAGTAATGCAGCTGCTGGGGCTCATGGCAGCAGCCCATCCAGTAGTTACCCTGGGCCTGCTACACAAGCGGCGGCTACAACGTTGGTTTACCAGCCTGCATCTAAACCTCAAGAGGCACAAGCGATGCATGGTGACGCCCCCCCAGTCAGTACAGAGGGACCTGCGGTTCTGGGGGTCCCCACATCGCCTGAGGGCGGGGGTACCACTCGGCCGGATATCCTCATACGTGTTTGTGTTCACGGATGCGTCTCTGACCGGATGGGGAGGGACCTGCCTGGGGAGAGCAGTGAGTGGTTTGTGGCCTCCTGGGGAGAGCCAACACATCAACCAACTGGAGCTCCAGGCGGTTTTTCTGGTCCTCCAGCACCACAAAGCCCTAGTCCAGGGCAGGCATGTGCTGGTGAGGACAGACAACCGCACGACAGTCGCCTACATCAACAGACAGGGCGGAGTCCGATCCGCAGCTCTGTTGACGTTAGCAGAGGACCTATGGACATGGGCTGCTGCACACTTGCTGTCTCTGAAGGCCCTTCACGTCCCAGGCTCGGAGAACAGGGGGGCCGACCTCATGTCGAGGGGCGGTCCCCCACAGAGCGAGTGGAGACTGCACCCCGATATAATACAGCAGATCTGGCCTCGCTTCGGGACGGCGCAGGTGGACCTGTTTGCCAGACGGTGGTTCTCGATCCTACCACAGGACAGCCCGCCCTTGGGCGTGGACGTGTTTGCACACGCGCCATGGCCAAAAGGGCTGCTGTATGCTTTCCCCCCACTCCATCTCATCCCCCCCCCTGCTGGAGAGGGTGAGACAGGAAGGGTTGTCAGTCATCCTGGTAGCCCCCAGCCACAGATCGGCGGGGTGGTACACAGAGGTGACGCAGCTGGCAGTGACGGAGCCCTGGCCTGTGCCTCAGGTCTGGGAGGCTCTGTCACAAGAGTCAGGCGCCATATGCACGCTGCCGGTGCTCGGCCAGCCTCTCCAGGTTTGGCTCCTGAAAGGGAGAGGTTGAGACAGGCTGGGCTGTCTGCAGAGGTGGTACATACC